TAAGGCCACAACACACAGAGTGCAAAGTGTAGCGTCATAGCTCATTTCACACTCTGCTCAATCTAAATGTTACACTGCAAACAATATTATTTTGGCAAATTAAATGATCTTAAATTAGTGGTATATATATATATATATATATGTATATATATATATATATATGTATATATATATATATATATTTCCCATGCATGAATTATTGTAATCTTATTATAAGACTATTTAACTCATTTCTAGACATTCTTTACTTGTTTTAAGTAATTTTATATATTTATCTTGTTTCTTCAATCTGCCAATACTGTGAGATACTTTTACTTGATAAAATTACTTTAAACAAACAAATGTTAAAAAGCTAAAAAGCTTTTAGCTTAATAGTTTTTTAGTAGGCTTACAACAATCACAACAAGAGAAATAATAGATAAGTTCAGATAATTTCACTTACTAAATGCCATTTTTTGCTGTGTAGAACAGTGAATTCATCACATCAACTAACTATTCACAAACTCTCTGTTTTCCTCCTAAAAGGTACGAGGAGAAGACAAAAAATTTGCTGAATGTTTCCACATAAGGTGTAGAGAGGAGATTCTATCACTGAAAACATGTTAACAACTGAGAAAAACAATTTATTAAACTAATTAACATACTTGTTTGCCTGTTTCTCTCTTCTGCAGGTGATTTTTCCTCATCAGAAAGATGAAGTTTGCTGAGAAAATTGCAGCATTTTATTGTCTATTTCGAGGTTTGTGTGCTATTACAGAATGCTGTGTGTAACTCATGACATATTTCTACCTATTTAATATGAAATGTGTGATTTGCTCATTTGTGTATTTTCTGTAGTGTTTATTCAGGTTGTTGCAGTTCTGCTTTATATAAAAATGTTCTGAGTATTCAGAGTCTGGCCTGATGTGTTTGTGTATTAATGCTTTTATATGGTTCTGTGTGTGTGTGTGTGTGTGTGTGTTTGTGTGTGTGTGTGTGTGTGTGTGTGTTCCAGTTGCTTTGTGCATCAATTCCTTCAGCGTCACTCTGCCAGAGAGTGTAGAAGCTGTGAGAGGACTCTGCATTTTCGTACCCTGCACTTTTACAATTGAGGCCAGGTTTGATGCAGACCTCCTGGTAGATCCTAAAGGAATGTGGCGTAAAGATGGCACTACGGAAGATCACACAGTCTTTGACTCCACAACACCTGAAAACAACAAGATTAAAGGGGAAATAACTGGAGATCTCAGAATGAAGGACTGCACCACCATCTTCAACAGTGTCAATAAGGGTGACAGTGGGAGATATTACTTCAGAATAGATGCAGGAAAACTGAAATACACTTACACAACTGCATCTGTTTATATAAATGTCAGTGGTGAGTGATACAGTGAAATTAATGTACAGTGTGATTGTTCCTTCTGAGATAATAATAATATTTAAAATATAGCTGTGGTGCTTCTGTAATATGACACTCTAACACTCCTCATCTGTGTGTCAGACTCCCCCCCCAAACCCACATTGAGTCTGTACAGAGATCAGATGGAGGTGCAGGATCGGAGGGTGTTGGAGGGCAGCTCTGTGAGTTTGTTCTGCTCTGCTTTTTCTCCGTGTCCCACTCAGCCCCCCACATTATCATGGAGCCCCCTGCCCACAAACAGCAGCCAGGAGCAGAACCAAAACACCAGCTTCATCTCCTCTCAGCTGAACTTCATCACTACTCACCTTCATCATAGACTCAGATTCAACTGCACTGCCACCTACCAGCTGGAGAACAATGACACCAAAACAACCCAGCGCTCCCTTGTTTTACGAGTCCTGTGTAAGACTGGGTTACGAACATTTCACTCAGTAGTTTCTGCTTTGTGAAAAAGTCTCATGTTCTAGTTGTTTGTGATGTCCTGAATCTGATCAACTCCATGGAGTTGAATTAATATCTTAGTAATACATTATTCTGTTCTTCTCTCAGATCCCCCTAAGAACAGTGGTGAGAGGTGAAGTGGTGTCTCCTGTTAATCTGTTCTGTCCTCTCTCCTCCCTCAGATGCTCCCAGGAACACATCTGTATCAGTGTCTTCGTCTGGTCCAGTGATGTTTGGCAGTTCAGTGTCTCTGAACTGCCGTAGTGATGGAAACCCAGCAGTGAACTACACCTGGTACAGAGAGAATGGAGAGCAGATAGAGACCGGACCCTCTCTCACCATCAACAAGACTGATGATACACACAGTGGTTTATACTACTGTAGAGCTCAGAACCAACATGGAGCTCAAAATGCGTCTGTGCAGCTGGACATTCAGTGTGAGTACAAAGCTGGAATATTATATTTGCTAATTTGGTTTGCTTGCCTTCATTAAACAAATTTTGATAAATGTCACAATATGTATTGCAGTTTGTTGTGGAATCAATAACTGGTCAACTTTTTGTCACCAACCATATTGGCAATTACTGTGTAATTTGGCTCTTTATGTATGATGTCAGTGTTCGCACTCTTAAAGCCTCTCTCTGTCATTTTTGTGGAGACACAACCTCAGTTTTGTGTTCAAGAGCTGTGAGTGAGACTAAACTGTGTCCATAAGACTTCATCCAGCAAATCTGTACTCAGATTCTCCACACTGTCCAGTTCAGAGACAGAAAATCTAATGCAAATCCCCTCAATACTGACCAACCTAATAGGGTTTAGATGCAGCCTCCTAATATACAAACATCAATTCCAAAATAATTGGGACAGTATATGAAATGCAAATAAAAATCAAATGCAGTGATTTGTAAATGCACTTTGATCTGTAGTTAAACAAAAATACAAAGGCAAGATGTTTAATGTTTTACTTAAAGTTGATTTTTTTCATTAATATACACCCATTCTGAAATTCATGCAAAGAGCACGTTCCAAAAAACTGTAACAGTGGAAATTTAAGATTAAAAATAGGTTATGCAATCCTACTTAGTGTAGTAAAATATGAGTTGTTTAAAGAGCAATAATAGTCATGTGACCTATTTAACCTATTTTACTCCTGTACCAAAACACAACTTGGTTTGATGTCATATATAGCTAATAAAGGGGGAAGGTTTATTTGAGGTCAGAGATCTTTCAGGCAGAAATGATAAATCACCTGCTAGCTTGTTTATTAATTGGTATAAATGAACAAGATAAATGGAGCATGGAAAAATCTATCTAACCAGCACGTTGGCAAGTATGGGTCTAATGACAAACTAACAAGGTAGCAGAATGATAAAATCATATCACAGTCTCTGATGAAAAGGTTGAGTTTGATGTTGTAGTGGCAACAGAAAAGTTGTCTCAGTGAGAAGAATGTTGGTGGGGTTTTATGACCCTGTGACAAGGCAGAGAGAAGGTCTGGGAAACACACAGCTGTGTCCTTTGAGAGTATTAAAGGTTATATAGTGTCTTAGTTCTGTAAAGAGGGAATCAGAGTCAACCCTTTTAGTAAATGTCCATTATCTCAAGTTTTTGGAGTTGTTATCACCTTTTGGTTATTAAACTAGGGCTGGCTTTTGAGAAGAAAACAGATAGTTACAGTGACCACACTTAAGTATAATAGAAGCATCTAGGAAATGCCTAGCAAGGATCGACTGAGGCTCAACACTTTGCCAAAAAAATGCATCCATAATCCAACAGTTTAAGAACAACGTTCCTCAACATTTACAACCAAATGAAGAAAACACTGAAATACTGATTCTTGGCACTAAAATTCAGAGAAAGATGCTTTATAAGCTCAGTTCTTTTGCCCCTTTTGCCCAAACCTGAAGTACAAAACCTGTATGTAATCTGAGCTTTGTTTTGTCCTGCATGTAAACAGAGTCAGTGCGTAGGTTTTTATAGCTTTTTATCATTTAAGAAATATTACTACATTTCAGCCTTTTCTATCTCAGAGTAATGCAGAGAAACGTGTTCATGCATTTGTTACAAGCACAGTTAATTACTGTAATGCTCTTCTTACTGGGTTTCTTTAAGAGAACAATGCAGCCTCTACAGCTCATACAGAGCGCAGCAGCACAGATCCTAACAAAAACAAAAAAAGAGAGATCATATCACAATCATATCATATCACAAGAACTGCACTGGCTACTTTTAAAATTTTCAGTGCACACTTTTAAGAAACATGAAAACATATTTCTTTAATTTAACATTTAATTAAAAATCTCTGTTTGGTATTTATATTTTTAATTTGATATATGCCATTATCTTGTATTATTTTAATTTAATATTCATAATTTCTTCTTCTTCTTTTGAGCTTTATCACCTGTCTGTGAAACACTGTGAAAAAAGAGCTCTGTACATACAAAAGTATTATTATTATTATTGTTATTATTATTAATGCTGAAATATATACACACATTCTACACAATGTCTTTTTCAAGGACATCAATGTTTATTTCAACATGACAACACCAAGCCACAATCTGCATGTGTTACAAAAGCATGGCTGTATAGTCAGAGAGAGCGGGTGCTAGACTGGCCTGGTTGCAGTCCAAAACGTGGCTTATGATGAAGCACAAAGTACAACAATGATGTAAGTACGTAGGTATGGTCGCGCAGCTGAGGACTGGAAGAATGGCAAAAAATTTGATTTTCAAAACTGCATCAGTTGGTGTCTTCAGTTCCCAAACGATTATTAGGTGCTGTTAAAAGGAACGGTGATATAACACAGTAGTAAACATGCTCCTGGTAAACATGCTCCTAGTTTTTTATATGTGTTAATGTATTCATTAAGTATTGTGTTTTCAATTTTAATACCGGTTAACCAGAATTTACTACTCATTACTATTTGTTTTATTTTCATTTCATAAAACTGTCCCAACTTTTTTGGACCTGAGGTTTGTATATACTATATGCAGCTCTCTATTTCCTTTCTCAGATTCTCCTAAGAACACATCCGGGTCAGTGTCTCCGTCTGGAGACGTATATCACCTTTAATCAGTGTTCTAACAGCTTTGGAGGCCAATACTGCAGGTTCTCCAGTATACGAGACCAATCTGTTCTGTCCTCTCTCCTCCCTCAGATGCTCCCAGGAAAACGTCAGTGTCAGTGTCTCCATCTGGTCCAGTGATGTTGGGCAGGTCAGTGACTCTGAACTGCAGCAGTGATGGAAACCCAGCAGTGAACTACACCTGGTACAGAGAGAATGGAGAGCAGATAGAGACCGGACCCTCTCTCACCATCAACAAGACTGATGATACACACAGTGGTTTATACTACTGTAGAGCTCAGAACCAACATGGAGCTCAAAACTCATCTGTGCAGCTGGACATTCAGTGTGAGTACAATGGTGAAGCTCCAATTGCTTTGTTTATGAAATTTCCATTCACTATACTAAGGCTACCCTGCAATGGACTGGCGACCTGTCCAGGGTGTTTCCTGCCTTTTGCCCAGTGACTGCTGGGATCGGCTCCAGCTCCCCTCGGGACCCAGAAGGATACGCAACATAGAAAATGTGTGTGTGTATAATAAAGCCTCATCCTACTTACTCTCTCCTTTTGGCTTTTCGGTGGTGTATAGTTACTCAATTTCAGATACATTTTTAAATATTTATGATAATGGCCAGACATATGAGGAAATGCCAGGTTGGAGTCAGGAGGAGAAGTCAGGGTGGAGTTAGAGGGTGAAGACAGGCCCAGGAGAAGCCAGGCTGAAATTAGGAGAAGAGGTTGGGTGGAATCAGGAAAAGAGGTTGGACAAGAGTTTTGAAGGAGAAGCTCTGCTGAAGTTAGAAGGAGAAACTGGGCTGGAGTTAGAAAGAGAAGCTGGGCTGGGGCCAGATGGAGGCAGAAAAAGATGTCAGGGTGTTGTTAGGAGGAAAACCTGGTATGGAGTTAGGAAGAGAAGGTGAACTAGAGATAGAAGCTGGCCACAGTGAGAAGAAGAAGCAGGGTGGAGTTAGTAGAAGAACCCGGAATGGAGTGAGGAGGTGAAGTAAAGAGGAGAAGGCAGTCAGGAGTTTGGAGGAGAACATGGTGTGGAGCCAGAAGGAGAAAAGCCATGTCTTATAGTGGTGGTTTGATGGCAAAACTCTAGTGGACAAGACTTGGGACCTAAAAGGCACAGCTTAGCCTGGAGGATGAGGTAGCAAGATTCATACTGTTAATCTGTTCTGTCCTCTCTCCTCCCTCAGATGCTCCTAAGGACGTGTTAGTGTCTCCATCTGGTCCAGTGATGTTGGACAGTTCAGTGACTCTGAACTGCAGCAGTGATGGAAACCCAGCAGTGAACTACACCTGGTACAGAGAGAATGGAGAGCAGATAGAGACCGGACCCTCTCTCACCATCAACAAGACTGATGATACACACAGTGGTTTATACTACTGTAGAGCTCAGAACCAACATGGAGCTCAAAACTCATCTGTACAGCTGGACATTCAGTGTGAGTACAGTGCCATAACGCTTTAGTTGCTCTGCTTATGCAGTTATGTGCAGTAGGAATGCACAGGAATTTCAACATTAGACTTCAAATGCTTGTGGGAAACCATGAAGTATTATATTTTCGTAATTTTTCAGCTCATCTAAACTACCAGGACATTTAAGCTGTACAGAAAATGCTGAGAATTTTCCTTAGATAATATGTGACTTTCCTCCAGCAGAGACAGTGGGAAATAATCCATTGTTTTAAAAGTAAAAAGGAATAAAACCTCACTATAAAACTGTAGTATTTCTCTGTCAGTTCTCTTTCACAACGTGGTGATTATCTTTTGAAGCATCACCAGCATTATGTTGATTTTTTCAGTCTTCTGCTTCTGTCAAGCTGACAGAATATGTACGTTAACATGTACCATAATACACACACACACACATTTTGCTTATATGATAGTTGGAAGAGAATGATTGGTGATTGACAGGTGGATGAATTCATCTCATCCTAGGGGTGGGCAACATGGCAAAAAATGTGATATCACAAATATGATATGTCATGAAGTTTTCACATTGTTACAATATTTATTTTTTTCTGACATCTGATAAGTTGCAGCAGAAAAAGTAAAGCCACATTTAATACATATGATCAAAAAGTATGAATCCAATGTTTTATACTCAACATTCACTTACTGTGCTCCACAAAATCCATTTAACCAGGACTAATCAAGCTGTCTTTGTAAATACACTTGAAGTTGTTATATGTGTATTAAGTACTGTGCTAGAAACAATGTCAGCATATTGTGACATGATTTTTCATGATAACAATTGTTATTGTCATATTGCTCAGCCCTATCTCATCATATTCATCTTAGTGTGCATATTGAAAAATTACTTTAGTTTTAGCAAAACCTCTACATATAAGTGCACTATTTTAATGCTTGTTTAGCTTTTGGGCATCAGTGCCCTTTAGAAAGGAATATTAGCTACAAACGTTTGATTAAAGTTATCAAAGTTAAAGTGAAAATGTTTGCAACACAGTACTGAGTGGAGTATAAGCTGCCTAGACAAGTGAAGTCACCAAGCCTCTAGTTTCGGTTTGCCATTGTTTATTTTAGTCTCAACGTTTGATCAGATAAATCACAGGAAGTTCATCATGAAAGAGCGATTAGCACGCTGTGGCAGTGTTTAGAATACCCTTTAGTCATGAGCAGCGCCTTGCACAATAGACATTAGCATGAAGTTTCTGATCTTGGGTAAGACAGGGAAACTCCTCAAGAGACAGTAATGCAGAAATTTTAGAGGAAGCAAGAATAAAATAGGAAGCCTCATGCTCCTCTGGCCTCCACTGGGTATTCACTGAACAAGATTTAGTGACAAAGCCAGGAAACAGAACTGTTCAAAACTGATACAAGGGAAGCATTGAGGGCCTGATGTTCTGAGCCTTTAGCAGCAGTTTGAGACACAAATTGGACTCATGGCACACGCAGAACAAGTATGAAACTGGCATAACCACACAGTTTATGGGCTGTGTACATAGAAAAAATGTAAAGCGTTCTTCTCTCCCTCGTAAATATGGCATGTCTCAAAATGAAATCTGCAGATGAGGTAGAAGAGACCTTGCTAGCACTGATATACAAGGCTCACTACTCGCTCAGGCACATTCACAACATTCTGAGCAGGCTTGACCGACACATTGTGGTTTACTAACTTAAACAACATGACATGTTTAAATCTTTAAAAACATTCATTTGAATTTTACATTTCATTATACGGTCTGCCATTCATTACAAAGCATCTTGCCATTTGCTGCTGTTTTCATCACTTTTCAAACAGTTTTGGGAAGAATTATGAGTGACTGAAGGTCTTGAAGGATACATCAGTTGAGTCCTGCCATTTTTCTGAAATGAAGGATGCTTTCTTGGCCTAATTTGAAGCATCCTACAAAATGGCACAGCCTTCAGTGGCATTGAGAAATGCAGTCTCGTCTGAACCCTCCTTGGCTTTCAGGCATGGCTATATTATGTTAATGAAGAGCTGCAAAAAACATGGGATGTTTGGACAAAAAGTGGCCAAAGATATTGAAAGTGCATTTGCGTATTGGGTTGGATTTACGGACATTAGAGCAACTTGTGGCTGCTGGTCTTGTGTCGTTTTTCCACTGCCTTTTAAAACCAGATGTAAATTTGCTTTATGATCTTAAAAGATGTGTTTGGAGATTTTCTTTAACAGTAACAGCAGACAGGTTAGATGGAGGAATGAGTCTCAAACCTGTGCTGAAAGGACACCTTCAAAGTGACACTGCTTAAACTCTCAGGACAATATGTGTGATATGCATGCATAGCCTGTGTCATCATTTCAGAAATTCTATTTGTTGGGTGTAGAACATTTTGGTGGGAAAAACTTCATTCATTAACGCTGTTTACATCTCTTCATCACTGAACTTTCATTTTCTGTCTCGAGCTTATTGATGGCCCCATTATTTCACTGTGCCTTTTAAACCCTGTATCTCGAGAGTGAGCAGCTAGTGGGCGAAGCTACATACAGTTTGCGTGATAAGCTACAGTGAATGTAATTAGCCCAGTTTGGCCCAGGTGCACCAACATTACTGCCCAGTCATTAGTACCTGTTAGTGTCCAGACACACCAACCCAACGAGGAAGAACTAGTGTCAACTAAGCCTGACAGATCAATGAATTCTGATTATATTCATAATTTTGTGACTAAAAAAAAACATGAAATGACTGAGCTTTTGTGTGTCCAAGCTTTACTATTAATAACAATATTAAAGACTTTCTAATTGGGCATATGCCATTCAAATACTGCTTGTTTAGAAATTTGGAGAGTTGAATAGGAAAAAAGGTTAAAATGAACGTCTGCAGTGCTAAAATGTTACTACTTGCACTGACGTTGAAAAACGGGGCCTCTTGAGAGTCATGTACGGCTCTGCTCTCTTATTTCTCTCTTCGTACTCTGGTTCTCAGCTCTCTCACAGCCAAATGCCTTTGCCGATTCAACTTGCTCTATCAGCAAAAACAGCGTTGATGAGAACCGACTAGTGCCAAGAGTGCTGAACACACAGACAATGTCCGTTGGCTCTTGTCGGTTCTCGTCAGACCAGTTATTGAGAAGGCTAGAGTATCAAGGTCTTTAAATTCAGCCACATTGTGATCGAATGTTGCAGTTGCACCAAGGCATATGTAGCACTGCACTCATTTGTACTTTCATCTGGCCCTGTGCATTTATTATTGAGGGAAGTTCACAATCTCTTTCTCTCTCATTCTGTCTCTCTTTCTCACTCTCTCTCTCTCTCTCTCTCTCTCTCTCTCTCTCTTAGATGCTCCCCAGAATGATCTCTTCTTCCACTGTAACAGCAGCAGTGAAGGTGGGATTGTGTGTGTCTGTGAGGTTCATGGACGTCCTGTTCCTAAACTGGAGTGGCGTCTGTCTGATCAAGCTGTCCCACCCTCTGAGAACTCATCCGTCAGGGAGGAGTCTGTGGGCCGCACGGGCCTGAGGAGTTTGATCTACATCCATCAATCATGTACAGGCACTCTGCAGTGTATCAGCACCAATAGGCTTGGCAGCACCTCTCAGCTGTTCTACTCTGTGGCTACTCATCACTGTTCATCAGCAGGTTAGAAACACTGCTTTGCTTAAACATGACGCTAATTGGTGGGCTATAAACTTCCATTTCTCGTTAGCTCTAGTGCTAAAAGTGAAGAACTTCAGACATAAAACATATCTTGCCTGATGGACTACACTGTCAGTAAAAAGGGTTCTGTGCAGGTACATTTCTGTTCATCAAAGTACAAACTATGGAAATGTACCTGCAAAAGAACAACAATGGTTGTAAGGTTCAACTGATATTCTAAATTCACGTTCCCAGTGGAAAGGGGCGTATTTGCACATTTTAATTTTTTCATATCGTTTCATAACGTGTTAAAGTAGAAGAATAAAATAAAAATTCTGCATTCAAGACAGGCTCTTTAAAGTCAATCCAACTTGACTACATTAGAATGAAAAACACTTCACCTTAATGGAATAAAGTTAAAGACTGTAGCTCATCTGTTTATGCATAATTTATTTTCATCAGTGGTCAGTTTCCAACCACAGAGCTGGATATTTTTGTATGATGAGGTCAAGGTTTATTGTAAAGTGACACAAAATAGGTGCTTCTAAAGAAAGTGGATGAAGCGTGTTTGCAAAAGAATTGGCTCCTTCAGTCAGCTGTTTTAGGTAAATGGTGAGAGACTCGTATTGAAGATGCACACTTTTATTTTTTAATTAAGACAAAACAAATAGTTATATCTTTGAAAATTGTAGAAAATCCATCATTTTTCTGTAGGTCAATTAACCTGTTGCTTGTTGTGTTTATCTTTGGATTTGTTTTTGCCGTTTTTCATGCAATTCTTATCAGAAACAGGTACAAAACTGTCACTGGGGCAGTACCCCTCTTGCCACTGGGGTGATTCCCATTAAGGGTACATCTCAGTACCTTTAGTCAAGGAACATAACTGTACCATAATACACTGAAGTTATTCTAAGTTAAGTATTGACTCCACACACCCCGTCTCGTCTTTTCCCCTGGGAAAAACTTATTTAAGGTACACAATTGGACCTTAAAACCCGCATTGTACCTTTCAGAGTATATTTACATGGTTTCTACCTTGACGAACAAGAAATGTACCTGTACAGTACCTTTATTTCTAACAGTGTACAGAACTATGCATTAGTTCTTTAGGTATTGGACTTCCGCAATTGTGCATTTGTTTGTTGATGTATTTTCCTGCACTGTGTCCGTCTCGCCATATTTAACCCCTGCCTCAATCTTTGATTATAATTCTTGGCGTGGTTCTTGGATTTCTCCTACTAAAACTCGCTCGCTCACTTCATTTAGTACATGGTCAATCACCTGCATCACAACTTTGACTGAAATGCATCCAGTGAAAACTACTTGTCAACATTTGACTAACTCTGTATAGCGTAATAATTTAGACCTGAATCTAGAAAGAATGTTGAGCTTTTCTTTATATAACAAGCCAAAAGCAGTTTTTATTAATTAGCAAATAAGAAGGTAGACTAAAATTTCTGAAAATGAAACCATAGATAATATCACTAACCTGTTTTTTTGGGGAAAAAAAAGCTCAGTCACTTGATCTGATTCAGTACATTACTTTTTTACATCTAATCTACCAAACCTGCTGTTTATTTTGCATTGAATAAAAGATATTTTACACTACAGTCATTCAGCAGAATAACAAAATAAGCTCAGGGTAGGTTAAAGAGTGGTTTTAAGCAGTGATGCAGCACATGTTACATGTTACTCTTTTGCAAATATTTTAGAGAATAACTTTCTAAAGAATTTCAGTTGTTCTCTCTCTCTCTAGGCTTTTAGCAGCACACCATACAGTATATTTAGGCCTGTGTTTTTCTACTACGTGTCCTCTTGTTCTGTTTTTGCACTTGAAAACTGCTGTGTGCTTTAAATTGTTTCTCAGCTCATTAACCACAAAAAGGAAGTGATTTTATTGTAAGCATTCAGGCTTTCTTTTGTGGCCAAACAGTCTTTAGCTAGCAAGATCTGCAGAGACACTGTTTAAGACTTCTCTTTATAACACCCAGAGAAAATATTCAAACTTTCAACACTAATTTAAGTTCTGTGTTTTGTCATTACATTTGCATGATGCAGTGTGTGTCATATTTTAGGTTCTGTGCATTATTTTACATTTTCTCTTTCCACTAGTGAAGCTTAAGAAGGTCTAGGAAAGTGATGGAACCACTTTGCTTTAGATAACTGTTACCTACCTTAGGTTTGACCCATTAGTTGTAAAATATCAGGACAAAAAGAGCCTGTTTTTACTTTCCTGCAGTTAACTGAAGTTCTGTTCATTAACTACAGATTACAGATACTCAAATATCAAAATTAGTCAGAATCTGTTCATCTTTAAGGACATATTAGTTCTAATGTGCTCGAAGAGAGTGAGCAGGTTTGCAGGTGCATCCAAAGCTTTTGTTTTATTGCACACTTTTTGATGGTTCTTCAGGGGTTCTTTAGTAAAGACAACAGTTCTACATGGAATCATGAGCACTCCTAGAATCATTTTCATGCTTAAATTGTTCTTTGCATGGTAAAATTGTTCTTCACATTGATGGAGAATGTGTTGTAAATGATTCTATACAGAACCTTTTTGAAAATGGTTGTAAATACTACCAATAAGGGTTCTGCTATTGTTATAATGCCATCACCAATTTAATTTGCCCTACTGGCAAAAACAGAACTGAAGAGAACCAACTAGAGCCAACAGTGTGAGACCGTTGGCTCTTGTCAGTTCTTGTCAGTGCTGTTTAAACTCTCAGATCAGATATTTGTACGTGAGAAGGCCTGGTGTGTCAGGGCCCTTAAATTCAGGCACATAGTGAGTGAATATTGCAGCTGCATCAAGGCATAAATTGTGCTGCCCTCATTCGTACTTACATTTGGCCCTATGCATGGAGAATGTGTTGCATATCACAGCTGTCAGAACAAAACCTTGTATCTCAAAATGATAACTTTACAGGAGAAGGAAAAAACATACATTACTTTCAATGTAAGTCAATGGAACCAGAGTTTTTTCCAAGTGATGTTTGGCCATTTATTTTGGTCCATCCTTCATGAAATCTACACACAATATAAAAGCCAACATGCATTTTCAAATTATGTCAAAAACTGAAAACCAAAATGGAGATACGAGGTTTTGTTCCGACAACAGCGATATGGTTCTATATAGAACCTTTTTGAAAATTGTTCTAGAAAGCACAAATGTTCTGCTATTGTTATTAAGACAAGCTTGTAACAATAAAATAACCCTTTTTGGAGCTATATAAAACCATTTCCAAAAAATATTCCTATTTAGAACCATACACAACACATTCTCCATCAATCTGATAAAAGTTAATTCAGTTGTTGATGTTGTTGAACTTCAGTAGATGCCTATTTAAAAGTCGGCTGATAATAGAATATACCACAAGCAGAGCCCTACCTGTATAAGTTGTTCTGAATAAGAGTATCTGCTAAATGGTCAATGTTTGCAATAACTGTCATGTCTCACTTAGCTGTGCCACTGCAGCACTTCACAGTCTATCACACAGAATTGTCACACAAGGGGCTCCCGAGCGGAACAACCGTCTAAGCGTTGTCCCTGTCATCAGGAGATCGCGAGTTCGATCCCTGGTGATGCTACAGCCATCCGTAGCCGGGAGTCCGAGAGAGCACAATTGGCCTCGCTCTCTCTGGGTGGGTGGGATGGCTCCTCTTCTCCCCCCATCACTCAGCGCGATGCTAGTCAGCGCAGGCGTCTGTTAGCTGACGTAACAGATCTGGCAGTTGGCGCTTTCCTCCGAGCGCGTCCGGCTGTCCAGTGACATTGCATGAGCAGCAGCTCGAAAAGAAGCGGTGGTTGGCTTCACAGGTCTCGGAGGAAGCCTGTGTTAGCCTTTGCCCTCCTAGCGTTGATAGTATCGTGTGATTGGGGGAGTCCTAACTAGCGGGTGGATTCGGAGACGACTAAATTGGGGAGAAAATTGGGTAAAGAATTGTGACACAAACTGCATAGCCACAGTTATCCATGCTGGGTTTGGAAAAGATTTTTATGAAGCCTATGTGAAGACCTTTATGGAAACTACCATAGTTTCTGAAGCGATATTGTGGTTGTGAAAGGCACTATATAAATAAAACTTACTAATACCACCATTTGTTATTGAACTAAACCGTGTTTTAACCAAGTCATCCTCAGCCTACGTCTGCTTAAATCATCAACTCTTTGTCATCGCCGTAGGTCCTTTCCACATTCTCTCTATACTGGTTGGTGCTGCTGTTGGAGCTTCTGCAGTGATGATCCTGTGTGCCATATTTTTGTGCAGAAGGTGTGTCCATATTACACACATTACTAGACCTCAAGAGCAGTGAAGTCTGTCCAAAAGAATGACTGACATTTAGTAGTCTTAGAGTTTATTTAACAGGGGTGATGTGATTGAAGTGACTCAAGTGATTGTCCTTCCTTACTGTACTTATGTATTATTTTGGAAGATTTGTACTTTACTGAAGTATTATTGACATTTTTATTATTTTAATAATTTATACTTTTTCACTGTACACAGTTTGACACAATACTCATACTTTCATTTAAGTGCAATTTCTCTGGACTTTTTACCCCCCTGCAAATGACCATATTTTGCAAATGTGCTCACTACACTCATGACCGGTTTCCTGGCCCAAGTTTAAGTTTGAGCCTAGACTTAATATATTTTCTAACTGTGAATCCCTTTTGTCACTGAATTGCATTGCCATTTGCCTAATTTTATTTTGCCTTGTAAATGAGATGATGTTCGTCATGCATTTGGCTGGTTCCCTTTCCCTTTTTTGCCTTCATTATTTGCACCCAGTGAGACTTGAGTATTTAATCAACCTGCTTATGTTGTTCGACTTTTTAAAGCACAACTTCATCCTTATTCTATTCCATATAGATCCATATAATTATAATAATTGAACAATTTATTTAAAGGCCTATTTATTAAAATTGTTTATTTACAACACTTTACCTTGCAAGTATGGTAGAAATGTGCTGAGATCTGGTGACTGATAAGAAATTCAATTGTTTTTCAGGAGAGCGCATCACAAACCTACAAAAGAAGAAACTGAAGGACTTGTTTTAAGCGATAGGGTTAGTGGGAAATTCCATTCACTACACACACACACACACACACATACACACACACAATCAGAATCATATTTTATCAGCCAACTTTGTTTATGCATACAAGAGATCTATCTTTCATTACACAGTAGCTTATGCTTACATATCTGACAACAAAAGCTTTATGCTTAAACGATAACATAGACATCCAAACCAGAGTTCTACCACACTTATACAGGAACATAAACATCCAAACCTGAGTTCTACACACTAATACAGTAACACAGACATCCATACCTGAGTTCTACCACACTAATACAGTAACACAGACATCCATACCTGAGTTCTACCACACTAATACAGTAACACAGACATCCACACCTGAGTTCTACCACACTTATACAGTAACAGACACCCATACCTGAGTTCTACCACACTAATACAGTAACAGACACCCATACCTGAGTTCTACACACTAATACAGTAACACAGACATCCACACCTGAGTTCTACCACACTAATACAGTAACAGACACCCATACCTGAGTTCTACCACACTAATACAGTAACAGACACCCATACCTGAGTTCTACACACTAATACAGTAACACAGACATCCATACCTGAGTTCTACCACACTAATACAGTAATACAGACACCCATACCTGAGTTCTACCACACTTATACAGTAACATAGACATCCACACCTGAGTTCTACCACACTAATACAGTAACATAAACATCCATACCTGAGTTCTACACACTAATACAGTAACACAGACACCCATACCTGAGTTCTACACACTAATACAGTAACAGACATCCATACCTGAGTTCTACACACTAATACAGTAACAGACATCCATACCTGAGTTCTACACACTAATACAGTAACACAGACATCCATACCTGAGTTCTACACACTAATACAGTAACACAGACACCCATACCTGAGTTCTACCACACTTATACAGTAACATAGACATCCACACCTGAGTTCTACCACACTAATACAGTAACACAGACACCCATACCTGAGTTCTACACACTAATACAGTAACACAGACACCCATACCTGAGTTCTACACACTAATACAGTAACACAGACACCCATACCTGAGTTCTACCACACTAATACAGTAACACAGACATCCACACCTGAGTTCTACACACTAATACAGTAACACAGACACCCATACCTGAGTTCTACACACTAATACAGTAACACAGACATCCACACCTGAGTTCTACCACATTTAGACAGGAACACAGACATCCATACCTGTGTTCTACCACGCTAATACAGTAACACAGACATCCACACCTGAGTTCTACACACTAATACAGTAACACAGACATCCACACCTGAGTTCTACCACACTTATACAGTAACATAGACATCCACACCTGAGTTCTACCACACTAATACAGTAACACAGACACCCATACCTGAGTTCTACATACTAATACAGTAACACAGACATCCACACCTGAGTTCTACCACATTTAGACAGGAACACAGACATCCATACCTGTGTTCTACCACGCTAATACAGTAACACAGACATCCACACCTGAGTTCTACACACTAATACAGTAACACAGACATCCACACCTGAGTTCTACACACTAATACAGTAACACAGACATCCACACCTGAGTTCTACCACACTTATACAGTAACATAGACATCCATACCTGAGTTCTACACACTTATACAGTAACATAGACATCCATACCTGAGTTCTACACACTAATACAGTAACATAGACATCCATACCTGAGTTCTACACACTAATACAGTAACATAAACATCCATACCTGAGTTCTACACACTTATACAGTAACATAGACATCCATACCTGAGTTCTACCACACTTATACAGTAACACAGACATCCATACCTGAGTTCTACACACTAATACAGTAACACAGACATCCATACCTGAGTTCTACACACTAATACAGTAACACAGACATCCACACCTGAGTTCTACCACACTTATACAGTAACATAGACATCCACACCTGAGTTCTACCACACTAATACAGTAACACAGACACCCATACCTGAGTTCTACACACTAATACAGTAACACACACACCCATACCTGAGTTCTACACACTAATACAGTAACACAGACACCCATACCTGAGTTCTACCACACTAATACAGTAACACAGACATCCACACCTGAGTTCTACACACTAATACAGTAACACAGACACCATACCTGAGTTCTACACACTAATACAGTAACACAGACATCCACACCTGAGTTCTACCACATTTAGACAGGAACACAGACATCCATACCTGTGTTCTACCACGCTAATACAGTAACACAGACATCCACACCTGAGTTCTACACACTAATACAGTAACACAGACATCCACACCTGAGTTCTACCACACTTATACAGTAACATAGACATCCACACCTGAGTTCTACCACACTAATACAGTAACACAGACACCCATACCTGAGTTCTACACACTAATACAGTAACACAGACATCCACACCTGAGTTCTACCACATTTAGACAGGAACACAGACATCCATACCTGTGTTCTACCACGCTAATACAGTAACACAGACATCCACACCTGAGTTCTACACACTAATACAGTAACACAGACATCCACACCTGAGTTCTACCACATTTAGACAGGAACACAGACATCCATACTTGAGTTCTACACACTTATACAGTAACATAGACATCCATACCTGAGTTCTACACACTAATACAGTAACATAAACATCCATACCTGAGTTCTACACACTAATACAGTAACATAGACATCCACACCTGAGTTCTACCACACTAATACAGTAACATAAACATCCATACCTGAGTTCTACACACTTATACAGTAACATAGACATCCATACCTGAGTTCTACCACACTTATACAGTAACACAGACATCCATACCTGAGTTCTACACACTAATACAGTAACACAGACATCCATACCTGAGTTCTACACACTAATACAGTAACACAGACATCCACACCTGAGTTCTACCAGACTTATACAGGAACATAGACATCCATACCTGAGTTCGACGACAGTTGTACAGTACATTATACGTATCACATTATTTAGGTTTTCTGTGTTTTGAAAAGTTGCAACAGACAAAATGCATCATTACTACTTCTACTAGTAATAATGTAATAGTGGTCAAAAGAAGATTCAAGTGAAGCCATTATACTGATCAGACCCCCACACCTCGACACAATAACACACCTGAAACACATACACACGCCTCTAACAAAGGACACATTAACAACATAAAACAGTACCTTTTAACTGGCGCACACCTCCCATGAGACTCTTTGCTGTGTGCCAGCTCCAGGTTGACAGCTCAAAAATGCTCAGAAAAATATTATTATTTTGTGATGCAATTTTTTCATAACAATATATCACCATATCATCCACCCCTTCTGGTGGATTATGAAAAATACCCGTTTCTTCAGGTAGCACAACATCTGCTTGCTCTGAGCGGTCTGCTACCATAATATTTATTTCTTCATATTTAATTTGACTTGTTTTAAGTATCCTTTCTTAAAAAAGGAAAATGATCTGCTTATTATAAGAACCATCACTAGATAAAATAACTTTAAAAAGTAAAAATGTTTTAAAATAATTCAAATAATGAGAAATATTATAGATTAGATAAATATCACGCAAAGATTAAATACTCATGTTAAAAATTAATTGCTGTTGATCCCACAGGCTGTTTGTCAGGAAGAGGAGGAAGTGGAGTCCATATATGCCAACAAAAATATGTTATCATCCACATCCAAACTACCGCTCATTAGGAATAACCCGGACAGTCTCCACTACTCCACCATCTACTTCCCAAATGGCAAAGAAGGGTCAGGCGAAATCAGGGGTCTTTCCTCTCTTACGCCTGAGTACGCCACCATCCGGCAAAGCTCGAGAAAAGACCCTGAGAGAGAGACCACAGAGGCACAAAACTCAGCTGCCACTGAGGAAGAACAAACCAAACCAGAGACGGTGAGTGGAGAAGAGATCATACAGCCTGCAAACGAGGAGACAACATATGGAAACATCGTCCGTCACAAGACCCCTCAGTCAGATTTGGACCCTGGTGTGGAAAAAGAGCAATCAGAGACAAAACCAACAGATCCAGAGCAGCTCACAGACGTAGATGGAGCTGAAGGTGTTTATGCACAAGTTAAACATCAGAAACAAGAACCCAAAGTGTCAAAGTGCTAAAATCATGAGGCCTCACTTTGTGAGTGATGCTGCAAACTGACTGGAAGTGACCTTCATATCACTCGCTGGGTTTTTTCCATATAGGTAAAAGCAAAATGGTAACACTTTATTTGAAGGTTACCTACAAAGAGACTTCATAACACATGCATAAGCATTATAAAACATGTATAAAGCATTACTTGAGAATTTATGAACTGCAGCTGATTCCATTATGTATATATATATATATATATATATATATATATATATATATATATAGCACTTCAAGTTTGGTTTTAAGGAAGACTAGTTAAGAGCTCCATATATATTTTAGATTGTAAATTTGTAATTTGTAGATGTTTTTATTTGAGTTAAAGTACAATTTCTCTTAAGGTGGCCTCTGTGAATGTAGACATGAAAAGCCAAGTCTGTTTCAAACATTTGTTTTTTATGTTTTCATCAAAATTATTCGTCAAAGTATTACTGTAATTTCTCGCACCACATAAGGGGTATTCATCTAATCTTGATGGACATTTGTTCCATTTAGGAAGGCAGAGATCTAGTTAAGAAAAATATTTATACAAGTATATGACAGATAATGCTGACTCTAACTTACAGCAGTTAAAATTGAAAAGCAGCATTACTGAGTCAAGAGGGAAAAAAGCGCAATACACTGCTGTGAGTCACCCAGTAAAGCCTAAAATAGTCATTTAATAGTGAGAGGCGTTGGGTCGGATTTTGGGGGAAGTTTTTCAGACCACGTTATATGTCTTTAAATGTTAACATCATACACAGTTTCAAAAAGGAGGCCTGACTCAATGTTCAAGTCTCAAATGCAAAATCAACATTATATTGATGAAGGTATCATGACAATAGTAGTTAATTCACTTACATCCTCAGAAGACACGTTGTTCACTAAGTTTTGACTGAGTTCTGTTTAAATACTCTGTCAACATGCTCACAATCTTCAGATTCATCCACACAGGGAAGGAGTCCAAAGCACAACCAGTGTTACAATATGTTTTTTTGCACGCTGCATGCAATTACACATTTACAATAGAGAGGTCTCCAAATCCCAAAATCTTAGTGTAGGTTTAAGTGAAATTCTATTGGTAAAATATTATTTGAATAAAAGCAGAAGCCCTTATCTAATTGAATAACATAAAAAAATGACACCCTTAAATGTACCCTTCCCCAGATGCTCTCACACACAGCATGCATCTTTCTGCAATGTCAATATCACATTTAGCTAATATTGTGATAACAGTTAACAACGTATTGTGCAGTCATACCATTTACCTGTGAGTTTATTTACATGCCTCAGTATTTGGCATAAGAGGCCTGAAACCCTATGTAAATTTCAGGTAAAACTCGAACAAGTTGTATACTGTACATATATAAACTATACACTCAGCTCTACACACAAAGAAAGACTTATGACTTCCCTTGTGCAGAACAGCCTGCAATCAAGCATGTTATTTCATGTTCCTGCTCATATTCATCATATCATTTAAAAGACTAAAGTCTTGTTTTTCCCATAGTCTTTCCTCAAGATGTTGTGACTTTAGCCCTGCCTCTAAAATGTCTTCTGTTTTTAAATGACATCACCGTGCACCAGCAGGTGGGGAAACATACTAACCAATAATATGTTTCCCTCCTGCTTCCACCACCCCACCTATCATTGTCAGAAAACTCTCAGCTAGCTCAGACACCCTGAAATCATGATTCTTTAACAAATATGTAGGGCAACCAGACACCCCGTTTTTCAATCCTGTATTTCAATCCATGTCTCCACTTATTTTTAAAAATGTACATTTGTGCCATGAGTCAAAGGAAAGTGCAGTGCTGATATGTGCACAAAATTGCGGACGTCTTTTGCTGACCAACAAAAAGCTACATTTCACTGTACTGTGTGTGTCACTGGAACGAACAACATCTCAGTCACCAAGGTTTCACAGCACATCTGTAACCTCAAATGCATGCTAATTGCAAGGTGTACTGAAAAATTTGTCACAGCCAATGATCTGACACAGTTGGACAGTTTGGTCGAGACTGTCGACATAAGAGAAGAACTTCTGCATGCTGTTGACACATTTTATTCAACTGCTACTGACTGCCTGGATCATTGGACTGGATCGTTTGAATGCGCTGAGAAGCTGGAGTGGAGCTTGCTTGGGAACGTTCCACAGTGGAGCGAGATTCAGGACTTCAGTTCAAGAATACCAGCTCTCTGTGTGACTGACGAAAAAGCTCTTCCTGAAGAATACACCAATGCTAAAGAAGTTGATGCATTCCTGAGCGAAATAAATAAAAGCTTGAAATATCTCACACATGGTGAGAACTCTTCCGAGAGCTTCACAAAAATATTGCCCGGTACTGCACGCTGGCTAAACTGTAGAGTTCGCCTTTTTTACCAGGAACATCTGCTTCAGTTGAGTGTGTTTTTCACTGTTTTGTGGTCCCCAGAAAAATCCTGTGTGAATGTCAAAGCAAAGAAGGCCGTGCTTTTATTGGGAGTAAATTTTGGAATGGAGTGTAGCAAATTCTATGAGAAATCACTGAATGACAAAAGCACCCTGTGAACGATTGCCTCATATGAAAAATTCCTCAAATCTGACACCGCCGCTGATTCACATGAAGAACAGCCCAGCACCTCCAGCTAACTTTGAGTAAGAAAACAAACTCTTGTAGGCCTGTTTGAACAGCTGCAGTTTATGCTGTCTGGATTTTATGCAAAATGCACACATATGTTATATATACAGTACACAGTACAGCGACCTGTATTTCAGCAGCGAAAGTCTGGTCACCCTACAAATATATCATGCTATGGAAAGAATATGAGCTACGATTCAATAGCCAACAATTAACACCATGCCAACAACCATTTGACACCACAAAGTGTTGTTTTCTAGATCCCATTCATTAATAGCATTGCTGTGCTTTTGTCACCAAAGTACTTTAAGAAAATCCTTTAAAAACAGTTACATACATTTCTTTGTGTGTAGAAAGCTTTCCTTCATGCTTATATGATTGTGTGCATTTGTAGTGTACTTTTATGAAATTAATTGTTATTGAAATGAATAAAGAAAAACAGACAACAGTTTTTGTTGTCAATTTGTGTATAAATGCTTGATATCATGCTTCATCTCTTTTTTATTTAACATTTGCTTGAAAGATTCTGTTTTTCTGAAGAATTTGATTACTCACAATATAATTGAGTTTATAAGTATTTGTAGAATCTTTTTTGAAAAAAAAACCACTATGTTTATTTAACTGGGGGTGCTCAAACATTTGCATACTGTGTGTATTTGTCTGTATGTCTATCTATTGATTGATCTATCTCACTGTTATACTTAATACTATAAATTTACAGATTTACAGATTCTTTAGTTGTATGACTTGTTTGTAGTAGTTATAGCTGAAGCCAGCAAACAGCAATTCTCTTCAGAAAACAGTATTTTCACACCAAACCTCAATAGTTTCAGCATTGCTGTTTGCTGAGCCTGGGACAAGTTAGATGAACAACATACTGGTGAAAAGCAACAGAAAAAAAGCAGTTGTTTTTAGGTGCCTGACAGTAAACCCAGTTTTATACTTTTGTCAGTAAGTCACTGACTTTGATGTTAGCTTAATTGTTGCAACAATGATAAGTTTTTTATTACAATGCAGTTTAAAACCACATTCTTTATGAGGAAAACTACCTGGAAAGTTTTCTTCTTTTTTCCTTTTTAACAGCTTAAAAACACCAACTTTACATTGTGTAAATATTTCTTGAGGACCAATAGACATGGTCCATAAGTACTTGCTATAAAAATAGTTACATTAACATACATTAAAACTTAAGGATGTGTTTTCCTTCTCCTGTAAAATGAACCATTTTAGAGATGGGAGGTTTTGGTGAGGTTTGTTATGCTGCTTTCCAGCATCCAGCCACAGGCCAGAGCTGTGCAGTATTGGACAGAAAACTGTTATTTACTTATTCATCAACAGCGCCAGTGTCATTTACTGTGATGTCACATCTCAAAGAAAATAAAGGCCTTTTGACTCAGTAATGGGCAGCCAAAACGAGAAATAACAGCAATCAGTATGCAAAATAATTGCATTACCACGCTTTCGAGGCAGATGTTTTTTTTTGCACACTTGGTTGGTTCTCAGACTGCGCACATGCATGTTTTCCTCCTCAGACCTGTAAATGTGATCTGTATAGTCTAAAGTACTTTACAAATGTGGTTACATGGTATTACATGATGCTTCTTACTACTAGGGGTGTATCAGGGATGCTGGTGTCATGATTTGATTATTTTTGGGATATTTTCTGTTTTTTTTTTATTGACTCTATAGAGCCTCACTGCCTTCTAAAAATAAACCCTAAAATCAAACAACCCCTAAAATGTTCCCTTGGAAAAAAAAGAGAGATTTGAGTGTGGATATGTCCATAGCATAAGCACCGCGAATCTAACTGTGATAGGCTGCACACAGATGCTTAGTTTTGCCAGCTTTTAATGAAAGGGAACTGAGAACAAATGACATACAGATTTTGTTTTTTACAGGGTTGAGAAAACGTTAGACTAACACATACAAATGGTCTTCGTGAGGAATGAGAGAATGTTCAGGCAGGAAGTGGTGCTGAAACAGAGAAGCAGTACCGACCAAATAGTTTCACCACAGTGTTACAGAGCCCTTAAAGACAAACTAAAATAAAGCACTATCTTTAGGAAAGCCTGTTTGAAACAGTCGTTTTGTAAGCACGTTGTTCTTTTCTAAACTAGAGTACAAAATAACTAAAAAGGACAAGCTAATCAGATAAACATGGACACATTTTATTGAAATGTGTCCGGGCAATTTTTTTAACTACGTACCAATATATGGAGTGTCACTGTTGCATAAAAAGTTGCAGAATTTTTATTATTTATTTATTTTATTTTATTTTTTTCTTTTGGTACAATGTAATAGTAATACAGAGTTCACAATGTACAAACAAACAGTTATATAACTGTCTAGTCACAGTGTGATGGTGTGTAATGATATGATATGATGCAGAAGTACAACATTTTAACCTTCTCATACCACTCACATATGCTTCTGACCTGGGACATAAATTCCTTCTTTGCCACAGAGCTACAGGCAGTAATTATTGCACATATTACAGTTAGAACACATTGTCACTCTTCCACAACAGACAATACACAAAATAAAAAAGGTCACTTACAGACAA